GTAAACAGATACAATAATACTAAAATATTGAGTTAAATAAACGCGCGTGAAAATAGAAAAGACGCCTAAAAATCCTAAAGAAAATAAGTCTTTTTTTGTTGTTTTGGGTATAAAAGAAAACAAGGCTTAAGTCTATTTAATTTTAATTTTAAGAAAAATGTTAAAATAATTAATTTATTTATTTACAAAAATTAATTTAGTTGGAAAATCTACTAGCCTAATATTTTTGTGATTTTGATTTTAATGTTAAAAGGTAAAAAGTCTACTAAAAAAAATTAAGAAAAGAAACAAATGCAAAATAAAAGTACAATGAAGCATCCTTCGATTGGGGTGAAGAAAGGGGGAATTCGATCCCAAAGGGAAGAGATATGGTCTCTTCGATTTGGAGGTAGATGAAGTCTTTGATCCAGGAGGGATGGGTGTCTTTCGACCCAGAGGAGGAAGATGTCTTCTTCGATCCAGGGGGGAGAAGTCGCCTTCTTCGATCCAGGGGGGAGAAGTCGTCTTCTTCGATCCAGGAGGGAAAACTATTCTCGATTCTAGACCTGCAAGACAAATATTAGCAAGAAAATGACCTGGGTGTCAAACCCAGGTCCTTCGATCCTGCGTGTATTGGTTTTATTTAGGCCAAATCTGCAGCAAATGTTAGTAAACGAAGAACATAACCTGAGGCCAAACCCAAGCCCTTGGATTCTGTCTAGGATGGAAAATCGAATGGGATAGCAAATATAGAGGTATTATGCTAATGCAAAGTTTTAACAATTTACCCTCTTTTACCAGCAGATTGAATCTTCGATTTGGGTACTGGCTGCTTTGGCTTGGAAAATTCTGACAACCCTTGACGGATTGTGTGGGCATCTTGTCACCAACTTTTCATTCTCTTCCCCCTTTTGCAACACTTATGATCTCTTTATATGGAGGGGGTGGAGGGGACAAGAAGGGAAAGGTTTAAACAACCTTGATTGTGTTTGAAAGCCATGAATAGAAATTTGTAATCTCAAGCCTCAACTCAACTTTAGTTTTGATGAAAGACAAACAAGCTAGTTTTGATAAACGACAAACAAGCACTATGGCAAGAAGGAAAAGAAGTGGAATTAGCTTAAAGCATCATTCACTCAAAGCTTTAAGGATCATGGCAAGCAATCAAGTATATCAATTCTCATTTGAACTACATTGATTAGAAATGCTCAAAAATGATATACACACTTGCCACAACACTTCACTTAAATTTTAAAACAAATTTTAAGTTTTTTACTGATGTAAATCAATTAACACTTGATGTAAATCGATTTACACATGCCTTTTCAAAAACTGATTGTCTCTGGCAGCAATCGATTTACATGAAGTGTAAATCGATTGATCCCAGAACTAAGTTAATTTTTAACACTTGTAAATCGATTTACACAACATGCTAATCGATTTACACTTCAAATTTTTTGAAAACATGAACGTTACAAACCCGTGCAATCGATTTACATCTTATGTTAATCGATTTACACATTGTGACTTTTGAAAAATCTGAACTGGTTTCAAGATATTCTTCACACCTTTTCTCTAATAGATGCATGGTCATACATTACATCCTCTCAAGTTTTTCAAACAGAAAAGTGTCCATTTGGAAAGGTATCTTGATTACTTTAAATACTAAATCTTTCAAATTATAAAACAACTCTTCTCTTATGCAATAATTCTGAACTTTGTAAAATATTCAAACTTCATATTTCTTAACTTTTAAGAACAAAGATTTTCTGCACTTTCACACATATAAGAATAGAAATCTTTGAGCATTATCTAACCATTGTGTTACAGTTTGAATTGCTTACAAGAGAAGAAAGAAGAAACTTCAAAGAAGTCACTCTATGTGATCAACATCTTTCAAGAAATCATACTTCATAAAATTATACAAAGTGTAACTTTTTTCCAGGATTGTTGGAATTAAGTATTAGACTACTTTTGTTCCTTGTTGTCCATTGTTGGAAACAAGAGGTATCTTTTGAGAGGATTGTTCTCAAGAGACTTATTGGAAATCCAAGAGGGTGTTCTTGGTATTTGTTAGGTTCTTTAGTTGATAAGACTAGGAAGAGTCTTGTAAAAGTTCTAACAAAATAGTGAAATCTCTTGCGTGTTTGCAAGGGGACTGGACGTACTTCCGGGGTGTGGAAGGAACCAGGATAAATCTCCGTGTCTCTTTACTTTCTGCACTTTACAGTTTTCAAAGCACTAAATCAAAACCAGAAAGTATAAAATAAGTCAAAAATCGACCACCACCTAATTCACCCCCCCTCTTAGGCGCATTCTTAAACTTACAATTGGTATCAGAGCAGGTTATAGGTAACCTGCTCCTAGAGATCCAGAATGGCTTCCACAAATCATCAACCCGTTTTCAGAGATGGTGGTAGTAACAACAAGCCTCCTCTATTCTGTGGTGAATATTTTGACTTCTGGAAAATACGCATGAAGGCGCATCTAGAAGCACAAGGAGAGGAAGTATGGAATGTTGTTGAAAATGGTCCATTTATTCCAGTAACGGTAATCAATAGCGTGGGCTCTTCAAAGCCTAAAACTGCATGGGACGACGATGATAAAAAGAAAGTTCTCTATGACAAAAAGGCAATAAACCTTCTTCAAGGTGCACTTAGTATGGACGAATTTTTCCGTGTCTCGACATGCAGAACAGCAAAGGAAATATGGGATACCTTGGTTCAAACTCATGAAGGAACGGCTGAAGTAAAAAGATCAAGGATAAATACCTTAAGTCAAGAATATGAACTATTTCGAATGCAGCCCGGAGAATCCATTCTTGACTTAGAAAAGAGATTTGTACATTTGACAAATCACTTAAGTGCTCTTGGTAAAACCTTGACAAATGATGAACTCAACTTGAAAGTCCTTAGATCATTGACTAGGGAATGGAAACCAAAGGTAACCGCAATCTCGGAAAAGAAGAGTCTCTCCGCAATGACTTCCGCTACATTATTTGGCAAACTTCAAGAATACGAAACGGAACTCGGTAGACTTGAAAAACACGAGAATCTAGAAAAGAAGTCCAAAAACATTGCTTTAAAAATTGACTCAAAGGAAGTTGTAAAAGAAGACAATCCGGAAGAAGATGAAAATTTCATGCTTCTTGTTAAAAGACTTGGGAAGTTTTTTGGCAGAAATGACAAGGGCGGATCTCATGCACATAAGAGAAATCACTTCAAGAAAAGAGAAGCCTCCACATCAACACAAGATGTCTCATGTTATGAATGTGGAAAGCAAGGACATATCAAGCCAAACTGTCCAAATCTCCCAAAGAAAAACGGATTCAAAGGAAAGGACTCAAAACAAAAGAAAGCCTACATAGCATGGGAAGATAATGATATGAGTAGTTCATCGGAATCGGAAAGCGACGAATGTGCAAATTTAGCCTTAATGGCATCGCATCACTCTGACGATGAAGAAGAGGTTAGTAATGAATTTACTCTTTTTGATGATGATGTTCAAGGTGCAATTGATGAACTCTTGAAAGAATGCAAAAGTTTATACAAAAAGGTGTCAAACCAAGAAAAAGAACTTCTAATTTGTCTCGAAAAAATTGACACCATGACTAAAGATTTTGATCTTCAAAAACAGAATTTTATAAAAGAAAAGGAAAACTTTGCATGCTCCAAGTGTGAATCAAATGTCTTTCAAATTGTTCAATTGAAAAGATTCATTGAACGATATGAAAAAGGACAAATAGGATTGGAAGGATTACTAAGCCAACAACGTTATCCAAATGATAAAAGAGGTCTTGGTTATGTGAATTCTAAGAAACCAAGTAACAAGCCCACTGTTTTTGTAAAGGCTAGTAATAGTTCCAATCCCAAGATAGTAGAAAAGAAGCAAGTTGTTCATAATCATCAAAAGAAAAAGCCTAAAGTATCTAAAAGAAAAGAAATTCCTAGATACAAGAGCAAATTTGTTCCAAACTGTTTTTACTGTGGTATTATTGGACACACACCCAATGCATGCTATATTAGAAATTTCAGTATGGCTAGTGGAAACTATGCATGGGTGAAAAAGGGAACTAACTATGAAGGACCCAAGGCCACTTGGGTACCTAACAAGAAATAATTTGTTTTTGTAGGTATGCTTGAAGTCCACATCAAACCTTTGGTATCTTGATAGTGGATGTTCAAAGCATATGACAGGAGATGTACACCAATTTTCATATCTAGTACATAAAGACAAAGGGTATGTCACCTATGGAGACAACACCAAAGGAAAGATTCTTGGCGTTGGATTAGTTGGCACACCTCCATCCATTCAAATTGAGGATGTTCTCTATGTTGAAGGATTAAAGCACAACCTTCTTAGCATAAGTTAACTTTGCGATAGAGGGTTCAAGATCAAATTCAACAAAGAAGAATGCCTTATTATGGATGAGGCAACCAATGAGGTAAAACTCAAAGGTATAAGATCTAACAATATTTTTATGATTACTCTAGATGATTTGTCTATGAAGGTACAATGTCTTATGGTAAACAACAATCACTACTAAAAAAAAGACATTTGAGAAAAGGTTTTTACATCGGGTATCAAAATACATGATGTAAAAAATACAATTAACAAACTTTTTACATCAGATATTTATTTGCAATGATATAAAAAATAAGAAAAAAATATATATTTCGCTACCTATTACATCGGGCAAACGCATCCACCGACGTAAAAAGTTTTCAGAAAAAAATATGGTGGCATTTTTGTAAATAAGAAACAAGGTAGTAGAAATATTAATAAAAAAAAGTAACATATTACATCGGTTAACTAAAAACCGATGTAATATCTTCACAAAAGATATTAATATAAAAAATAAATTAAAGAATCAATTAAAACAATTACATCGAGGGAAGTTTAAATCGATGTAAAAAAGTCAGAAAAAGAAGCTTGCATCGGGTATTAGTATCCACCGATGTAATAGGTTCAAAACCCTTACATCGGTTATTAGGATCCACCGATGTAATAGCTTCTCCACTATGAAAACTCTTACATCGGGTTTTCATTTCCACCTATGTAAAATATCCCAAACCCATATTTCCCAAATTCACAATATTTCAATATTTCCACCGTACAAACTCTCCTTGCCGCCGTTTCACTATTTCCACTGTCCGCATACGCCATTTCCGTTCAGTACCCTTACGACCACCACCAAAACCGCAACTCTCCCTCCCGGCCCACTCCACATCCCCATCCTCACAAGCCTCCTATGGCTCCGAAAATCCTTCTCCCAACTCGAACCTTTTCTCAAAACCCTTCACGCCAAACACGGTCCCATCATCGCTCTCAAAATCGGTTCTCGACCTTCCGTTTTCTTCGCCGACCATTCTCTCGCTCACCACGCTCTCGTTCATAACTCGTCAATCTTCTCCGATCGCCCTAAAGCACTTCCCACCGGAAAGCTCATGTCCAGCAACCAGCACAATATCAGTTCCGCTTCTTATGGTGCCACGTGGAGAACCCTCCGCCGTAACCTGGCCTCCGAGATGCTCCATCCGGCGAAAGTCAAATCTTTCTCAGAAATTCGGAACTGGGTCCTTGACACTCTCATCAACCGTCTCAAAATGGCTTCGGAGTCTGAATCCTTTATGGTTGTTCCCCACTTTCATTATGCAATGTTCTGTTTACTTGTTTTTATGTGTTTTGGTGAAAGAGTTAGCGATGAGAAAGTTAATGAAATTGAACGCGTATAAAGGACGCTTCTGTTGAGTATGAGCAGATTCAATATATTAAATTTTATGTTTGTTTGAATTAGTTTATTTGGTGCTGGAAACTGTTTATACTCAAAATCTTCCAGGGAACACTTTTTACTTCAAAAGCAGAGAATAATCAAATTCAAAAATGCTTTAACTTTCATTCAAAATTTATCACACCTCCGCTAATATTAAGTGCCAATTTTGTTTGATGTTCTATGAAGTCTGTTAACTTTATCATCTTTTACATTTCATCAGGCATATTCAACTGTTGGAACTCTTGACTACATGGCTCCTAAAGTTTTGCTCAAGAAGGGGTATGTAATAGAGTGTGATTGGTGGTCTCTTGGGGCAATCATGTATGAGATGCTTGTTGGATATCCTCCATTCTGTTCTGATGATCCAAGGATGACCTGCCGGAAGGTATTGTTGTTGATTGAATTTTCCGTCCTTTCTATATCTTCTAAATTAATTATTTCCACCAAGCTGGTATTCCTGTATTGTGTCAGATTGTGAATTGGAAAGCATGCCTGAAATTCCCCGAAGAACCCAAGATATCAGCTGAAGCTAGGGATCTCATATGTAGCTTATTATGTGATGTTGACACAAGACTAGGAACAAGGGGAGTAGACGAAATAAAGGTAAAAACTCCCATGGGATATTGTTTGTTTGGGAGACTGCTCTATTAATGTGATTTTGAAGGAATTATTTTTACCAAATTGACTGAGTTACAATTGAGTTTAAAGTAAAGTAATTAATGTTAGAGTGATTTTTACTTTAAAATTTGGTTTAAAGTAAAGTAATTATTGTTAGAGTTGATTTTTACTTTAAAGTAAAATTTCCAACTCAGTGTAAAAGCTACTTTATCACGTTGTCTCATTGGTCTTCTTTCTACTTTCAACACAACCTTTCTTTCTTTGAAATTCTTAGCAATGCATCTGAAGAAAAATAAATAATGTGCATATGTTATTGCGCCTTCTACCAATTGTTATAGATATGTCTTCGCCAAATCTATCGGGATAATCGCCATCTAAATCAATTCATTGGACTACGTGTGTGACTTGGTTATAAACACTAATGTCTATCGATTACAAATCATTGTGGGACTATCTTGTCTCCTGCAACTTTCCAACTCTCAAAAACAAACATTTACTTCAACCACTTCTCCATTATTCTGTAATGCATTAAATCTCAAATTAGAAGAAACAGATTCTGCAACTGAAGCAAGATATAGAAGTGAGTGTGGTAATTACCCTACAAAAGCTGCTATTACAAATGTGATTGCTGGAAGAAGAACAAGTGTTAAACCTGCAGTAATTACATGAAACATTCATTTTGTTCGACGTGAAACTACACAAAATTCTGCTTCGTGACAAAACTGAAAATTGTTGTTGCATGCATACTTATTCTGCACCAGTGTAAACAACTGCAGTGCAAATTCTCACAAATGAATATATTACTTTTCATAACTTTTAATTGATGTTACTATATAGCCATTACCTATGAAAGTAACGAACTATAGTCATTATCTTCATCTACAAATATCATATTCATGACCCATAGTATTTCATTATTTTCATCTACAAATATCATATTCATGGGCCATAGTATTTCATTATCTTCATCTACAAGTATTCTGGAAAATACACCATCACTTCTTAATGGTTACTTGTTGTTTTTTACTTTATTTAGATAGATACACCACTTTTTAATTGCTTATCAATTCACTTCATATTGATTATTATATTGTACAGATACTAGATCTTCTAAAGTACGTGCTTTGGTTTCCACAAGCAGCTGAAGCTATAAGCCAAGGTATATTCCATGATTCTTCATTAATATTCTCATCCTCTCTTCATTAGTGTTTGTTTGGTTAGTTTATTTATTTGGGTGATGTTTGTTTTGGTTGATGATTGAGTGATATGGTATTAAATGATAACATGTAACTTACGTGGATGCAAGGTTTATTGTGTAATAATTATGGTCTGGTTTAGATCTGCATGCAAAGATGGTGAATGAAACAGAAAAAGATGGTTTTGGAAGTGTAGAAGTAGCGGTCATCAGCATGCTTTTACATACAGGTTTTCAAGTTGTGAAATGGTTTTTAGCTAAAATATAGTCTAGAGACAATAATACTCTTTATATATCAAACACACATATTTTGTAATGTATTGAAAATGGGTTGAAACCAAATGGGCCATAATGATTGAAAACGAATTGAAAGTTGGTTTAGACTTGAATGTAAATTTTTGGTAAATTTAAAATATGACAGGGTAAAAAAAAATATAGGTCGGGTGAGATGTTTAGTTTGGACCAAAAAAAATATTTACTAATTTTTTCAACAATTATTCAGGTATATTCATCCTGTTTGTCTTGAGAATTCCATTTCATAATTATATGGATTTATGGACCCTGCTAGGTGTATTTATAATAATAATGTAGCGAAATCTCAAGAAGATGTTAAAAATTACGTACTAGAAAAGTTACGTGATGAAAACAGAGTGTGCCACTTACTACCATTAATTCATGGGTAAGAATTTTTATATAATTGTGTTTTATATTATTTAATTTTGATAACATATATATTTTATGTGACTTTTCTGTTTCCACACACACGTACAGGAGACATTGGCAATTAATAGTCATGTGTCCAAGAGACAATTTAGTTGTCGTATTTTGTTCACTTCATCGGGAAATTGACCATCACACGAAGAAAATTATTACAAAGTAAGTTTATCTTTCATGTGACTTTCATTGACAACTAATAGTTATGTCATTTTTCATTGGCGAGTAAATTTAGCTATGTGATGTTTATCTTTCTGTATTAGTTCTTTTGGGATTCATCAAATGGAAAATGGAAATAGAAAAAAGGCTACATGGCTTCATCCCAATGTAAGTGTGATGTAAATTGTAATTCTATAGTTAAATTTATGATAAATATTCACTAATTATGTCATTCAATTGTAGACAAGACAACAATATAACTCTAATGATTGTGGATACTATGTGATGGAAAATATGTTGGATATTGTCTCTGCTAATATAATCGAGAATTGGATGCAGGTACTAAAAATAAATAATCTATTCCAAAAAAATTTCATACATTTTACATCGGTTATTACTCAAAACTGATGTAAAAACTTTCAAAAAGGGACTTTTTACATCGGTTGGGAGTAATAACCGATGTAAAAATTTGCGTCACTGGGGACTTTTTACATCGGGTATTACTTCCAACCGATGTAAAAAACTGGATCAATTTTTTTAAAAAAATGTGCATAATAACTGTTTCTTACATCGGTTCTTATATTATAACCGATGTAAAAAAGGGACTTTTTACATCGGGTATTACGTCCAACCGATGTAAAAAACTGGATCAATTTTTTAAAAATGTGCATAATAACTGTTTCTTACATCGGTTCTTATATTATAACCGATGTAAAAAATGGACTTTTTACATCGGTCCCAGAACCGATGTAAAAAGTACCTGATTTACTATATCGCCTGACTTTACATCGGACCCAGAACCGATGTAAAAAGTCAGTTTCACCCGATGTAAAAAGTCATTTCTGCACTAGTAAATGACGCTTGGTTATGGCACAAGAGGATTGCTCACATTCACATGGAGCACTTGAACAAATTGGTTAAGCATGACTTAGTTATTGGTCTACCAAAGATGAAGTTCATCAAAGACAAATTATGTAGTGCATGCCAAAAGGGCAAACAGACCAAATCAACTTTCAAACCAAAGAATGTGGTTTCAACAACAAGACCACTTCAATTGTTGCACATGGATCTTTTTGGTCCATCTAGAACAAGAAGCTTCGGAGGTAACATTTATGCTTTAGTTATTGTAGATGATTTTTCCCGTTTTACTTGGACTTTGTTTTTAGTGCATAAAAATGACGCATTCAAGGCATTCAAGAGATATGCAAAACAAGTTCAAAATGAGAAGTCATTAAAGATAACATCAATCCGAAGTGATCATGGTGGAGAGTTCCAAAACAGTCTATTTGAAGAATTTTGTGAAGAAAATGGGATCTTCCACAATTTTTCAGCACCAAGAACTCCACAACAAAATGGATTAGTTGAAAGGAAAAATAGGTCTTTGGTGGAGCTTGCAAGAACCATGCTAAGTGACTCAAGTTTGCCTAAATATTTTTGGGCGGATGCGGTAAGCACGACATGTTACGTAAGCAATCGCGTGATCATAAGACCTATACTAAAGAAAACTTCGTATGAGATTTACAAAGGAAGAAAACCAAATATCTCTCACTTTCATATTTTCGGGTGCAAATGTTTTGTCCTTAACAACGACAAAGACAATCTCGGTAAGTTCGATGAAAAATCGGATGAAGGTATTTTTCTTGGTTACTCCCTTTCTAGCAAAGCTTTTAGAATTTATAATAAAAGAACTTTAACTATAGAAGAATCAATGCATGTTTCTTTTGATGAATCTAACACCTCCAAGGAGGAAGTTGTTATTTGTGATGATGATGATTCTATAAATTTACCTCATGAGAATTCATGCGAAGGTGGCAAAATTGTCAATCCGGAACAAACACATGAACTTTCACATCAAAATGAAAATGATGATGGTCTTCCTCAAGAATGGAGAACTCATCGTGATCATCCAATTGACAACATAATTGGAGATATTAGCAAAGGGGTATCTACTCAACTAAATCTTAAGGATGCATGCTTGAATATGGCGTTTGTATCTCAAGTTGAACCTACTAAAGTGGCTCAAGCACTAGAAGATGATCAATGGATCCTTGCCATGCAAGAGGAGCTAAACCAATTCGAGCGGAACGAAGTTTGGGAACTTGTTCCTAATCCAGGAAATAAACGTATCATTGGAACCAAATGGGTTTTCAAAAACAAGATGGATGAAAATGGAATAATCACTCGAAACAAGGCAAGACTAGTTGCTCAAGGATACAACCAAGAGGAAGGGATTGATTTTGAAGAAACTTTTGCTCCAGTAGCACGTTTGGAAGCAATAATATTATTACTTGCATATGCATGCTCATTGGACTTTGAACTTTTTCAAATGGATGTAAAAAGCGCATTTCTCAACGGATTCATAAATGAAGAAGTCTATGTAAAGCAACCTCCCGGATTTGAAGACTTCAAACATCCTAATCATGTCTTCAAATTGAAGAAAGCTCTCTATAGGCTGAAGCAAGCACCAAGGGCATGGTATGATAGACTAAGCGCTTTCCTATGTGAAAAAGGGTTTGTAAAGGGTAAAGTTGATACCACTCTCTTCATAAAAAATGTTAATCATCATACTTTACTTGTACAAATCTATGTAGATGATATTGTTTTCGGTTCAACTAACCAAAATATGTGCAAGGAATTTTCATCTATGATGCAAGGAGAGTTTGAGATGTCTATGATGGGAAGATTGAATTTCTTTCTCGGTCTTCAAATTAAGCAACTCAAACACGGTATCTTCGTAAACCAATCAAAATATTGCAAAGACCTTATAAATAAGTTTGAGATGGAAAGCAGCAAAGAAAGTGCAATTCCTATGGGATCCGACACCTATCTTGATCTAGATGAATCATGGAACTCTATTGACATAACTAAGTATCATGGAATGATTGGCTCACTCCTCTATTTAACAGCAAGTAGACCTGACATCATGTTCAGCGTTTGCCTATGTGCAAGATATCAAGCCAATCCTAAAGAGTCTCACCTTGCAGCAGTCAAGCGCATAATAAAATATCTCAAAGGAACAACCAACGTTGGATTATGGTATCCAAAAGGTAGTATGTGCAATCTAGTTGGTTATTCTGATGCTGACTATGCAGGTTGTAAAACTGATCGCAAAAGTACAAGTGGAACATGTCACATTCTCGGAAATGCCTTGGTTTCATGGTCATGCAAAAAGCAAGCAAGCTTCGCTCTCAACACTGCCGAAGCAGAATACATTGCGGCTGGAAGTGGATACGCTCAAATTCTTTGGCTAAAACAATAGTTACTTGACTATGGAGTAAACCTTGGATGCTGTGATCGGTGGATCTGGAACTGACTGTTTAACGCTGGTTCGCGAAATGTCGCGGAAGCAAGAGTCGCCACCGTCTTTTATTTTCTCCAAATGGAAAGGACAAAAGCACAGAAAAATTCCTTATAGAGATTGCTCTCGGTTCGGGAGGTAGGTTATAGAAAGGGAAGATGTTAGCACCCTTTCTATCCATGGTTATCCATGGGCTCTTAGGTACTTTCTCAATGTGTTTTCAAAATTGTTTGTTTGCTTTTCAATGTGGGTTTAAAAAGTTTCTTTGAAAAATCTCAGTTCGACTCGTACGTCAGAGTGTTTGAAAAATTTGCTTCGAAAGCTTTTGAAAAGTGTTGGTGTGAAAAGATTTTAGTTTGTTTTGAAGAGAGCAAGTATCCATGAGTCGTCTACCTACCCTAAAGAATTCGTCTGTGTAAATGTCCTTTAAAGTAGTGCCATCCCACCATTGAGAGGTAGGTAGCACCACTGTCGGAGGTGTTCGGGTCAATTCGAAGGTTCGGGACATGGTGATCACCAGAGCAATAGGAAGACACCTTAGAAGCTACCCTCATGCCAGGTTCCCGGATCATGAGGACTTACTAAGACATCCTCTACTTGACGATCACCTTTCAAAAGGCAAGGCAACAGTGAGGCGTACCCTAGGGGTGGTGTGTGCGATTTGTGTGTCGTTTTCATTGATATTTGTCTTGTCATGTTCATTGTGATCTACGCTTGATTTTATTATGGTCCATTCATTCTTTCATGCTTGGTTAACAGTTAAAATATTTGCGGAAAAATAAATCTAAGCTATTACAAATGGCGCGGGTCCACATCGCCAAAGTTAAACCGGACCCGATTTGACGGAAAGTAAAGAAATAAAAGTGCGAGAAGTTTCAGTTACAACGCTTCGGGAGAGATACATAATGAATTAAGCGAAATAAAACAAATGTGCGAATAAAATAAATTACGAACGAGGGCGTTGGACCCTTT